ATCTGCCATAAATTATGGCATCCCATTCACTTAAGGTTCATTGATACTCTGATAAGAGAGATAACTCTACAGATAAGAAAGATAACTTTCTGCCGACATTTTGTCATGAAATTCAGTAATTTGTCATGTCAGAGTTTACAAATCTATATCATATGGACCATTTTATTGTTAACTCAAGCAAACCTAACCCATTGATCAGAGGTTGATTTGTAGTTCTATTGCTAGTATATTCAAAAATTATTTTGAATAGTTTACCTAAAACATTTACACTCAGTTCCTTTAAATGGTGTAAATTGATTAAAAATCTATTTCTAAACGTGAAAGTCTTTTAATTGTACAGAAATAAAAGCCGCAGAATTGTTTATAAACATTTAATTAATATTTTATTTCATTACAAAAGAATTTCAAGGGCGATAATGGAACGATAGCTTTGCTTATGAATGCATTTTATTTTACATGCACAGAAAACAATTTGATATTCTGATTTAAAAAGCATCGCTCCAGTATGTTTTCTAAAGGGAATTAAATAGGTATGAGAGTAAATATTATTTTTATATATACCTCATATTTCTAATTTAATTGTGAGATTAAAAATAATTGATCTTTCTAATGACCATATCAAATTTTCTTCAAATCATGATTTGACATATCATTTATTTCTGAAAAAGTAAGCAACGCTTCATACTTCAAACTATTTTTTATTTGAATTGAATGTTATAGTTGTTGCTGAAAATCAATGTTTGGAATTTTTAAAAAAAGTCGTCAAATGTGGAGCAGAGGGATACTGTCCCTTAAACAAAGAAAGCAAAGGACCACAATTCTTTGAATTTGCATGTATAATCTTGATATGGAAACATCCTCATATAATGTATATTCAAGTTTTTTATGCAACGCCATGATTAAGAATACATGTATTAGTTTTTGTCATGTCCGTCCTCCACCCTTCCATCTGTCTTTCCATTGAGCTCAAAGAAATTACTTTCTAGATATTTTATCAAAGTTCATATGCTGATGCATATACTGATGTAAACTATCCAACGGTGGCAATATTTTTTATGCGCCCGGATCGATAGATCCCGGGCATATATTGTTTTTGTCCTGTCTGTTTGTCTGTTTGTCTGTTGTCAACTTTAACCTTGGCCATAACTTTTGAACAATAAGAGATAGAGACTTCATATTTGGTATGCATACTCCACTATTAAAGTCCTTTCAAATGACATCAAGGTCAATGACCTTGTGACCTTGACTGTGACCTATATGCTAAAAATAGCTTTTTCCACTGTTTGTCATAACTTTTTAACCATAGGAGATAGGGACTTGATATTTGGTATGCATACTCCTCTAATAAAGCCCTTTCAGTTGACAACAAGGTCAATGATCTTGTGACCTTGACTGTGACCTATATGCTAAAAATAGCTTTTTACACTTTTTGCCATAACTTTTTAACCATAGGAGATAGGGACTTCATATTTGGGATGCATACTCCACTGATTAAGTTCTTTCAAATGACACCACGGCCAGTGACCTTGTGACCTTGGCTGTGACCAATATGCTAAAAATCGATTTTTTGAACTTTGTTTCCGCCGGGCGCATAGTGTTTCACAAACACATCTTGTTTACCTTTACTTTCCTTTGACCTTTACTTAACTTTTCTTAAAATTAGTGTTTAGCTTTATTTTAGAGAAACCATAATGATTCAAGTTGTGTAATGAAACTTCACATGATGATACATACTGATGTAAGCAATTAAAGCTTTACAATGCTTCACTCTTTTTTACCTTGACATTTCCTGTGATCTTGACCTCACTGTCTTAGATTAGATCAGTTTTGAATAAACAGTTCAAGATATATTAATCAAACTTCATATGCTAATACATACTGATGAGAGCTATTATTGCATTAACTTATTTTGACCTTGAATTTTCTTTTGACTTGACCTCACTTTTTAAAATATGTGTTTATCTAATTTTCAAATAAACCATTAATTATATTTTTATTAAAATTTATATGATAATAGTAAATTCACACTGATGTAAGCTTTTCAGCTAGAACAACATTTTGACCACAACCTTTCCTTTGACTTCTCTTTTCTTAAAACAAAGTGTTTAGTTCAGTTTCATTAAATCATTCAAGATATTTTTATCAAACATAATAAGCTAATATGTATTAGTGAGAGCTATTCAGCTGCATCAAAAACTTCATCTTGCACATTCCTGTGACCTTGACCTCCCTCCTCTTTAATATGTATTTTGCTTAGTTTTTAAGAAATAATTTAAGACATTTTTATGTATAACATGCACTTATACATAACTTGATGAGAATTTATTATCTATATCCAATTTATTTATATTTTAGTTTCAATTCTGAAAAAAAAAAACTGTTTAAGATATTTTCATCAAACTTTATACACAAATACAAATTTTAGTTTTTAGTTTTTAGCTCACCTGAGCCAAAATGGCCGACCAAAGTTTTACATAGAAATATATGGGAAAATTCTTTGAAGAAAAGCAAATCCATGATTGATCATGGGATTACTTTTGGATTTTAACTTTTCAATAATAAACCAATTTCTACTTTTTCTTAGCTTCAGTACTCAGGTGAGCGATGTGGCCCATGGGCCTCTTGTTTAATGTACCATTAGTAATACACATCTGGCGGGACATTCATGTCCTATAGACATATTTCTAGTTTTTCAAATCATCACCTCAGGCTAGGGTCAGGCCACAATTAGGGATCAAAGTTTTATTTAGGAATAAAAGGAAACACATCTTTAAAGTTCTTCTTTTCAGGAACACCAAGAGCATGATTAATATGGAAAAATTCTCAAGAGGTGTAGATCCAAGTTTGTACAAATCATGACCACCAGGGTTAGGGAGGTGCCATATTTTTCCAGCCCCTTTTTGCCATCCATATGAAAATTCAAATTTTGAAACCATTTTACACATACACAAAACAAACCAATCATTTTCTAAATGATCATGGTTTAAAGCTATTGCAGCATAAGATATAAGGGAATTTATTGAAAGCAGGGTGATTAAACATGTCAAATATATGTTTAAAAAAATATATATATATATAAATTCTACCCTTGATTTGATCCCCATCCCCCCCACCCCAAGGGCAAAATGAAAATTCCGAAAGCTTACTGCACATCTACATGACCCCACCAACCATCTCTCAAAAGATGATTAGGCTGGTGAGAAAAATGTATGAGGAGTTATGGAACGACAGGACTTTTTGCATAAGAAAACGTCATTTTTCGACCCCCATTTGACCCCCCGTGGCAAAATCAAAATTCAGAAACCTTACTGCACATCTACATGACACCACCAACCATCTCTCAAAAGATGATTAGGCTGCTGAGTAAAATGTAGAAGGAGTTCAGGGAAGAAGGGGCTTTTTGTATAAAAAACATCATTTTTTGACCCCCATTTGATCCCCTGGGGCAAAATCAAAATTCCGAAACCTTACTGCACATCTACATGACACCACCAACCATCTCTCAAAAGATGATTAGGCTGCTGAGTAAAATGTAGAAGGAGTTTAGGGAAGAAGGGGCTTTTTGTATAAAAAACGTCATTTTTCGACCCCCATTTGATCCCCTGGGGCAAAATCAAAATTCCGAAACCTTACTGCACATCTACATGACACCACCAACCATCTCTCAAAAGATGATTAGGCTGCTGAGTAAAATGTAGAAGGAGTTCAGGGAAGAAGGGGCTTTTTGTATAAAAAACGTCATTTTTCGACCCCCATTTGATCCCCTGGGGCAAAATCAAAATTCCGAAACCTTACTGCACATCTACATGACACCACCAACCATCTCTCAAAAGATGATTAGGCTGCTGAGTAAAATATAGAACGAGTTCAGGGAAGAAGGGGCTTTTTGTATAAAAAACGTCATTTTTTGACCCCCATTTGATCCCCTGGGGCAAAATCAAAATTCCGAAACCTTACTGCACATCTACATGACACCCCCAACCATCTCCCAAAGGATGATTAAGCTACTGTGAAAAATGTAGGAGGAGTTCAGGGAAGAAGGGGCTTTTTGTATAAAAAACATCATTTTTCGACCCCCATTTGATCCCCTGGGGCAAAATCAAAATTCCGAAACCTTACTGCACATCTACATGACACCCCCAACCATCTCCCAAAGGATGATTAAGCTAAGCTACTGTGAAAAATGTAGGAGGAGTTCAGGGAAGAAAAGTGTGACAGACGGACGGACGGACGGACGGACGGACGGACATGAGTAACAACAATATACCCGAACTTTCTTTCGAAAGTGCGGGTATAATCAAAGTTCCAAAGTTTTCACCATAGTAAATCAAAGTTCCAAAGTTTTAACTTTGGTACTATAGTTAACTATAGTAAACTATAGTTAACTATAGTTTACTATAGTATTTTTTTGTTAGGGATGCTTTGTAAAATATTTTAAAACATTCTGTAAAGATTTCAAAAGTTAAATAACTGAACTGCCATTCATTATTCTTAGTATTAGTTTTTAAGATGTTGTTTAAACAAACGTTTTGCTGTCCATGTTGATCATATTTGATTTTATTTTAACATATTTCGTTAATATCTTTGGAGGAAATTTGGATTTATTTAGATTAAAGAACTCATTGTATAGAAATCAAGAATTTCTCATTTAGTAAATTACACACCATGTAAGAGATTCTCCATGTTTTGCTACATGTAGTACCGAGTTTTATTGTATCTGATAAGACGTCACTCTATTTTCTTTCTAAAGGAACTTGGACACAGATTTGAAGATAATATTTTCTCTATAATATTGCGACTTATGTATTTTAATAGCATTTTACACTTAAATCAAATGAAAATCTTATTTAATTTTAAAGTTGTTAAAACTTAAGTTTTTTTTTGTGTGTGTGTGTTTTGGCGCGTTTGATCGACACGTCCTTGCATTTTCAGTCGTAATATTATAGAGAAAATATTAACTTTAAAATAGTGTCCAAGTACCTTTAATACGTTGACATATATCAACTAAAAATACACATATATGTGAAGAGCAAAGAGTAACCTTTTAACTTGCTGTCTTCGATAACAAACAGATCTTCATGGACCTCAAGACCTACGGTTGATTCAGTTGGCTTATCTTCATTTGTGCCCTCTGCTTTATGACGCTGTTTCAGAAGAAATGCGTTTTCTGACCCTGTACTATCCTTATCAGTTTTATTTCTTCTTTGAAACTTTCTACGAAGAGTTCTTTTCTCTGCTCTTGCTCTATTTTTATGTTTTCTCGTCCTTTCGTGAAGCTTTCTAAGAAGAGTTGTTTTTCCTGCGCCCGCACATCCAACTATCATTCCCCTAGCGCGAAACATTTTCACATTTTCTTCCTTGATGTTTTTCAAAAACCTTCTTCTAGCATGGATATCCCATCTTAGTACTTCTTCTGGTATATTTACTTAATTAAAAAAGATAAACATAGTTGAATAATTCTGTGCTGAATGTTTGTTTAATGTCTTTATACATGGAATTATTAGATAAATGAAGAAATAAATGGATTTAGATGTAATAATACAAATACAATTTATCTGAACTTCATTTACATTGTATACATATACATGAGAATGCATACTTTCTTTATATAAATCCGTATACTGAAACAAAACCATTTTCGCGTTTTCGCGTTTCCAATTCTATACCATATGAAAACACAGAAGCACAATAACCTTTACGGTAACATAAGTACAACAATTATAATAAGGATCTATCCACGGATAAATAAACCTTAGTTGCCCAAAAGAAAAAGAAATAAATTAATTACGATCAACAGACGAATAAGTTTGCAACTTATCTGTCTTCCCATTCATCAATATAACTATGAAACTATGATCATTAAATTTTTATTATTTAATAGATTTTTACTATAAAAATGATTAGAACCGTGCCTTAACACCAGAACCTTGTCCCTGGGGAAATAAATTTCACAAATTTTGAAAAGGCACTCTTGCTGATCATACCTCCGTACAAAGTTAGCTAGTTTCTTTAAACCAAAGAGCAGATATAGAGTTTTCAAATAATTCATTTTTACCACTTATCTAGTATATCATCAATAGAACCCCAACCTAACCACATATCACTCAAATTCAATATTCTTGAAAAGACACTCTTGCTCATCCAACTTAGTATTTGGTCAGTTTATCTAATATCCACGAATAGAGAAGATTTAAAAATAAAAGCATTTTAAAAACATATGACCAAGGACACTAGTGTAAAAATGTAAATGTTTTAATCCGGTACAATGAACAAAGGGTCTCCGGGTAGATAAAATATAACAGGTGTCAAAAACTTCAGAGTCAAAGACGAGACTAAACATTTATCTTTAGACAATACAAATAATTGATATAATCGAGTGATAAATAAAAACAATCTATTGTAAATATTATGTTATTGAATGTAATTTGAATTTTTGTGTTAATAGTTCACTTTCAGTTGGCTTTCGTCAAGACAGCCATGCTGTGCTCTCGTCCGCTTATTAGCGGAGACTGTCCCCTTTCGTAATAAATCTGTTAAAGCTGCATATTTGGAATTCCATCTTATACAACAAAATAAAAAATGCACAATTTAGACGGTTATAAAAGATGCAGAATACCGGGTACGACTCCCTTTCACAGCCAAGCGAGCTCTACCTATCGATTCCCCTAACTGTCTACGAGAATTCCAAAATTTCAGGAAAAAAAACATCTTTGCTTTCGTACAGGCCGCTATATGTAAATCGCAGTCTCGGACCACAATGAAGACCTGAAGACTATTTCTTTCAGGGTCATCACCAAGTTTGTGTCCGATGTCGAATCCTCCATGGACCATGTTGCCGTGCTCAAATGGAGCAGTGTTACATGTACAGATGTAAACGTCATGATCAGCATGCAAGAATGTGAATGAGTGTCCTCTCTTCCCCTGTGAGGATGACCATGATAGCAGATACTACTGAACCAATCTGAGAGCATCGTTTCGGTAGGCAAAAGTCAAGAGACAAAGTTCGTTTAGGAAAAAAAACAAAGCTCAGCTACACATATTGTCATTTACTTTGAGAAATATAGCGTTCCAGGACAGCCAAAACATCCATCTTGGACTTAAAACGGAAATTCAACAGTTAAACCTCAAAGTGAAAGAGATGGAAATATGTCGACACAGTAAACGGGATTATAAACCAAAAAGAAAATTTTGTCCAACTTTCAACGAGACAAACACTTTCATATACGAGGGCTGTTCTAGAAGTAATGCCACAGTGTCGATATCTTTCATATTTGGCGTCATATAATCAAATACAATATACCAAGATACATTAATACAAATTTAATTAACACTGAAATATTCATTTCATTATGTTTACTTGAATTTATTGATAGACATTTAAAACATAGAGCATAGGGAGTGTCGCTGCGTCGCAGATGAATGTTTCGTTTTGGAGTGAATTTTTACGTACAGACGTACATATTACAAAAATTCTAAAAAGTACTTCATCTCCAATTGTTTTTTTTTTAATTGTGTCATTTTAAATTTTTAGCATTTAATTGTAAATGAATTGACATTATTGGTATTTGTGATAACAAACATTGTTGTTTTACTCTGTTGAATTGAACAAAAAGATTGTCGAAATGAGGAAAAAAAGCTCGACAAGTTGAAATAAATGCATTTTTGCTTCGAATTATTGGAATATAATCTATTCCATAACAAAACACGATGTCGTTTTTTTTAATGGGACTAGCGGGGTATTGTCACAAATGAAAATGTACCATCGGATATTTTGACAATTACTTTGGATTTTTTCAATTCAAATTTCTCACATCTGTGTTCAATTCAAAGTTCTCACACATGTGTTTAATTAATTTATTTACAATTTGCTTCAATCTGTCAGTTTTATCTATTTTGAAATATTTAATTATCTTAATAAGCCATAAGTGATTTTACCAGATGGAATGTGCTCTATGTAACCTTATTACTGTTTGAAATTAAAATCGTAATCAGTAACTCTACCTGTAAATCAAATTAAATCATGTCATGTACTTTACTCAAACTTGTAACTTTTCAACTATGTCTATAAATACAATTTTTTTAACACTTAAGGAGTTGGAATCGGGACGCGCTTGTCCTTGATATTGTCCGACCCGACTAGAAATAAAGGTCTGTATCTTCATTTCTACCCTAGTTGCTTTGCTACAATCACACGCATCTAACGCGTGGGATAGATATACTAGTAATAAATAGAAGAATATATACTGCAACCTATGAAGGTGGCTTTGTCAAATCCCTTTTCAACCGAATTATCACATTTTTAAAAAAAAATTTAACAGACACCTGACAGATTTTAATAATTTTCACAAAAAACATTAACCAAATGATAAATAAAGAACCATTATACACACCCCTGCTAATGTGTTCGGAATCTTTTATTTTTCGGTGTTCAGCAAATAATAAAACCTGATGAGTTCAGGGTAGCTCTGGCAGTGGCTCTTGCGAGAATTAGCGAGACTTCAGCGAGATATGGTATATTATTCACGGAAATGTGAATAGGAATTGACTAGCACGTGGAGGCATGGTAAATAGAAAAGCTATCTTGCGTTTCAGTTTTCACCACCCTAGAATCAGCTGATGATATATATGTAGCATGCATGTACATGATCAATCGATCTCTTTTACATTCATTCAAACTTACATTTCCTCTATAATACAATTCTCTACAGTCATATATTAAAATTTCTTTTTGGACAAATATTTTTTGCATGGGAACCGGGACTATGTTTTTGGCGTCATATTAGCAAATGAGGCACCAGCATTATTTTAACTGACCAATCAGCTGAATGAGTATTGAATTCTGGGTTAGTACGAATACTACAGGAATTGAATTTTACACTTGAAAAAGGGAAAATCTTGTGTTAAATGAAAAGCATTTTTAAAAAATATCATTTTCATGTTTATAATCACAAACAATTCATTTGATAAATAAACGGCGGAGGTCTAGGTTTCTGAAAGTCATACTGCAAGAGTATGGCGTGTCTGTACTCTGTATTAATTCCTTTGTTGTACTATCGGTAATTACAATTGCAAAGTGAATTCCCTTGCCGAACACGTGATAACGAACGTAAACAAAGTTTTGTCCATTTAAATACATAAGAGATGCAACTAGTTGTTCTTACCCTTCAGGCCTTGAAGCGTTGGTTTTCTAAGGTAGACTTTAACTACACTTTATTAAACATTTTTATTTCCATTTAACAACAAATTAAAAACGCCCTTAAAATCTTTCATTGTTTCTTATCTTTTTGTATTTTGTTCGTAAGAACATTTTCTTCTTATCTTGCAGTCCATTAACATGATCATACATTGACCTGAACTTCGTGCTCGAAGTAAAATGTAAACATGTATTTTGCATAAACGTTGCTATTCATTCAACGATTGGAAAGTTGCTCGTGGTAAGATCCTCTGTGCGCAATTATACCAATAGCCATATAAGGCAAACAAAGGTTTGTCAGTGTAGATGATAATGTACATTTTTTTACCAGCGAATCGGTCACTATAGTGAACTCTAATTTTCGCCGAAAAGTATGATGTATTATTATTTTAACATCCCCTCCTTTAGCCAGGCTTTGTCAGTTGAAAATCATGAAAGTCTTTCAGAAAGGTCAGGAAACATTTATTACAGGACATGTTTTCAAAAGAAACAGGCTATAGCAATATCATGTTAACTGCCAATTTTATTTATAAAATCGGTTCTATCCTATAACCTTTGAATAGATCAACATAAACAACGTGTCCTGAATCTAAATCACAATAACGTTAGTAGGGGTAATACAGTGATTTGGAGTTTTCCTGAAATGTTAAGATGAGAGCAGTGTTTGTGTAAACATGAAAGTTGAGAGTGTCGTTTACCATTATAATGATTTATTTTAGGAGTTAAATATATTGCTTAATATAATACAGCTAGAGCAATACAACTGCATGAATTTTACCTGTGCTATAATTCCCTAACTACATGTATGAGTGCTTTTTTCCTATTGGTTAAATTTTAATTGGCAAATGGAAAAAAATATATTGTCTTTTAAAAATACTTACAACGTTTACTGATCCTTTCATGAATCCTCCCGTCAGACACAGTACAGTGTGTGATGATGTCAAGCTTTAGTTTGTCTATGAAGAGGTCGTACATCTTGACCGGACTGTACGGTATATACAGACATCTCTCTCCCTCACTCCTCTTATACCTCCAGGACCGGCAGTATTCTGAGATCACGTCACGTGACGCCGTGGTCAGGAAAAACTCAAGATCACTGTCCTTCACCAGACACTCCGTAACAAAGGCGTACATGACGTCATGTCTGATGTCGTCAGACACAAACGTTACCTCATCATTCTGGGTTTCAGTGACCTCGTGCTGAAGCTGTTTTAAATCAATATCATTAGATGGAGAGAGTTTTTCGAAATACCGTTCACGCATCTTTGTCAACATTGACTTGACTTGACTTGAATCTCCATTTACAACAGAAGTGTATTTGTCACACAACAGTAAACTGTAGAGAAAACTTTTGTCGTCTTCAGAATAATTATGATATTTGCCTGAAATAAAATAAAAATAAAGAAAAATAAATTTCATGGAGTTTTCAAAGCTATCATTACTTTACAAATCCAAATGTACGACGTTTTTAATATTTTTTTAAAGCATAAAATATTTTTTTAATGTACTATGAAATTAATAAACACAACATTACCAAGACTGACGATACAAATTATACAGTTCATAAAAAAATTATATAATAAACTGCACACTTTATTACAATTGTAATGTTTTTATGTAATATGTACATAGTCATTTTATACAAATTTGGAGCATCTATAATTGTACAGTTGCGTTGAATTACGTCAGTTTGGAAATGTATACATGCATGATTGCAGACAACATCCAGATTTCTGACGTACAACTTGCATTCATATCAATTTAAATCATTTTTTTTTAATCGAAGAATTAAAAAAAAAACATCCACTTTTTTTTTCTTATTATTTTACAATACTTATTAATTATGCATACAATTAGTTAATGGACATAAGAGTGTTTTTTTTTCAAAACTATTGTAGCGGACACATTTGCAAAATGCACGCAAAAAATGCGTCATGAAAAAAAATTCTCTTTAATTCAATAAAATGAAAAAGAACGCTTGCAAAAATTGTCAATGGTATCTTAAGAGTTTACGTAATTTGCCCACCTCATAGATGACTATCCAGTAGCAGTTTGAGTCTGATATTAAGCTTAAAAGAGTTAAGAACGTGAATTTACGCAACCAAAAGGGTGTTTTGCATGAAAACCAATGGTGGCCTTTTTCAAGTTTTTGAAGATTTTCCTCTTTTTTAACAGTCTAAATTATGATCTTTTTTTAAAAAAAATTGTCCTATTCATGCCCCTTAGAAATAAAAGTCTATATGTTCATTGAATGCAACTTAGCATGTATTTATACCATATGACTTAAAAATCATGCGCCTTCTGTCCTACTACAGAATTTCAAAGAAAATGAGGAGAGGGACTGAAATAAATCAATTGTATTCTGGATTTTAATATCTTAATATTCATATAAATCATCAATCCTTAGTTTAGGTAAAAACAAGACAAACAGAGAAACAGACAAACAGACAGGACATAAACAAGATACGCCTCGGATATATCGATCCGGACGCATAAAAAATTACGAAACTTCTACATACGTGTATCTCTTATTTCTCTCATCCTACATCAAGGGACATAAAAAATTATTTATTTATTTTCTTTTTATTTATTGTTTCTTCAGATTAAATGATATTTTCATCTTTAATTCGTTTATAAAACTAGGATTGACTTAAGATGAACCCATTTCCTCCAAAGAGTTCAACAACGCTTGAATGTACACAAACTGAACCTCGATATTTCTAATTTAACTAAATGAGTTTTTCATGACTTTGATTAAAGTTATAGCCAAAGTTAAAGTTTTTTCCAAGTACAAAAATATCCAAGGTCAAGGTCAAAAGTTCAAGGTTGTTGGTATCAAATAAAAGGTCTTTCCACATACAATATACATCTCAAGTATTAATGTTCTGGTGTATACTGTTCAAAGATATGGCCAAAGTAAATCCTTAAAATTTTTGTGTAAAAGTGGTTGAAACTCCAAGGTCAAAATGTCAACTTTGTGGTACCCCCAAAAAGGTCTTGTCACAAGGAATACACATGTGAAATATGAATGTCATAGCTCTTCTAGACCAAAAATTATGGGCAAGGTTAAAGTTTTTGCGGACAAACAGACAGAGAGACAGACAGACAGACAGACAGACGGACACGACAAAAACCATATGCCCCCGAAACTTCGTTTACGGGGGCATAAAAATTGCTCCCATGTCCAGAATTGAACACTGGTGCCCTGCTTGGGTGTCCGCGACCTTATCGATTACGTTACGACTTCTTGCTGAGGAATGTTTATTTAAAATCAATTAATTTATAGAAATTGATGGAACAACCAGTTCACCCGTTGCATCGAGGAGCTGTAATGTTATATATCTGGTATATATTTTACATAATCTATGTTAGTTGCGCGGATTTGGGGGACAGACTAATTAATTACACATCTCCTATCGGGATTATGACAATTATCAGAGACGGGCACCTGTTCCTGTGTCAAAGATTTGAGATCGTTGTAAATTCTCTATCTAGAAACTTAGTAGAATGATTTTTAAATTAATATCATAAATTTAGAAAGCTAAAATCTACTATATTTATTATTTTCTTCAAGAGGCATATATAAACGATTTATTCATTCTTGTAAAATGAATTTCAAATAATGTCTTTCAAAAACTAAATATCCTGCAGTTTTGACAATTAAGAAAAGAAATATGATCAGTTATACTTGGGGTCTTCTAGAAGTGGTTTGAATAATGTAAAAACTGTCTCGTCAATCAAAACTAAATATTTCCATGAAAAAAAATACTCGTATAAGCACTAAAGAATGATATGCAGCATTTATTTAAATTTTGATTCGGTTATCGAATCATCATATTTTTATCACTCGAAGAATTTTTGTTTTCTAAATGTAACTAGAAAATCAAAAATGATTTTGAATAAGTCTCATATATTCTATAAAATTATAATAATTACTTTGACATATTTTAAGGTAACCGATTTTCACGATAAGTAAAAAACAATTAAGATTAAATAATAAATCTTTATTCAAATTATTGCTTCATTATTAAGGAAAAATATCTGATTATAAAGTAATTCGCTAGTGAAAAAAATCGCTTAATTTAGACTTAAATATCATGGAAAGGTGGCGGAAAGGTCACTTAAAGACGACAAAAAGGTCACTGAAAGTCGACGAAAAGGTCACTGAAAGACAACAGAAAGGTCACTGAAAGACGACAGAAAGGTCACTGAAAGTCAACAGAAAGGTCACTGAAAGTTGACGGAAATATGTGCACTGAAATGTGGCTGAAAGGTAAGGTATCTGAAATGTGACTGAAAGGCAACTGAAAGGTCACTGAAATGTATGTGCCATTCAGTGGCTGAATGGCTACTGAAAAGTTACTGAAAGCCGCCTTTCACTTTTAACTGAAAGGTCTTGTTTCTTCCTGTGTTAACCTTACGTGGAATCATCTTGGAGTAGTGTAGATTCTGAATTGTTTAAATAATAATCAGCTAGGATTGTCAAGGTCAAGAAAGGTTTTACAAAGCAGGAAATCTGGTAAATGGCAGAGTGGCGAAAGAGCGATGTGGTTCATGGACCTTTTGTAATAAAAATTTTCTTAATATTTTGATATACTTTATCATTTTTTGTTTTGCATGGGAACTCTTTGTAGAAGGGTAGATGAAATTGTGAAAAGGGTTAGAAGAAAAATAACGACGACAGACCTTTGGCTTAGGTAAACTAGTTAAATGTAGTTACTCATGGACCAATTGTAACATTGAACTTGCAGTGAGTGATTGAGATATTTTTTTTTATATATTTAATTATCCCAGCAGGCACACAACATTGAAAAAAACTTAGAATCAACGATGTTTTTCTAGGTTGATTCAATATTGATTCTATGTTAGATTTTGAAAATTTGTATCAACCTCGAAGACTTAACATTGAATCAACATTGATAATCAACGTTGATTTTATGTTGAAAAACAATTGATTCAACATTTATTCAATTATTTATTTTGGAAAGGTGTCATGTTGTTATAATCCAACATGATGTAAATAGGTATAATAGTAAGAGAGTATTATTTTCATATGCGCCTCATGGATAATATTAAATTTTGTGGTAATAAATCGTTACTCTTTCTATTCTCTGTGTTTAATTTCTTCATTTCATGATCTTCAAATAAAAATCATTTCTAAAAAAAGAAGCATATAGCTTTATACCTCAAACTATTTTCCTTTTGGCTCTAATGTTATTGTTATTTATGAAAATTAATATTACGAATTTTAAACTTTCTAAAGTGAAATTTAAACCATAGGGTCGGGACTCCTTAAATGAAAACATACGGTATATCAATAGTATGTGAAAAAAGAAAATGTATAATGTACACAGTAAGTGTTTAACAAAATACATTTTATAAATTAGTCATGTTACAGAACCCGAGCTTTTGAAAACGTTTTGTATTTCACATGTGGTAATGAAATAGTCCAGAACAAGAAACCATTCCAAGATAAGATGCAAATCTTATAAGGTACAATTTTTGATGCAACAGATATACATTTCGACAAATTATGTCTCTTCAATGATACTCCAACTTCCCAAAATATTTTCTTTAAAGATTATTTTTTAATCAAATCTTGGTGTTGATACCGGAGGGTTTTGTTATATTTATCATTAAATGTGTAAAATTTCTATATTTACCATCTTTGTTAGTTATAATAGTTAGTAATGATATGAGGTAGTGTGACTTTGTCAAGTCCGACCTCGTTATGGTCCGACAGTGTTATAGTCCGACACTAACATAGTCCAAATTATCTATCAGCACAGGAATCGTCAAAGTTTAAACGATAAAGTTTTTATCGTCAAAAAAAAAATTCCGGAAAAAAGTTTTCCTACCCTTAACTAAAAAAATCCCAGGATGGCAACGTGTTTTGGGGGGACCCACCTAAACAAATAGATCTGGGCTTGGCCAGAAAAATCTCTCGACTAATTCAGTTTCCGGAGCGTTTTTGTTATTCATTTAATGTGAAAATTTCAATCTGCTTGACGACTACGGGCCGTTCCTAGCCCCTTTTCCACTTTGACAACTCATCCCGGACTCCATGCCACTAAACCGGAAGAGAATCTCGCAGTGTATATTTGACGTTTAAGAAAACTTGTTCAAATGAAATAAAATAAATAATTGTTCAACGTAATTTTATTCAGTTATTTTAAATATATTTAAGACAACTTTAAAAAGTTATTTGTTTTTTTTCTTACTTGTACGACGATGTGTACCAAGGACAGATAATTCAGTTTTTACAAGCGCCAAAGTTAAATCACTGAAAAGCCATGTCGACAAAGAGCCAAACAGTTAGACTAAGCGCCCTTATAAAGCATTATTTTGTTTGAAACATATATCTTTTTATTGATCACGTATGGTAACATAAAATTGTACATGAAGTTTTACATGCATTTTTATTTAGTTCTTTTCTTCAATTACATTATTTATTCACCTCGGAGTTCACTTCCAGTTAAGTGGCATGGAGTCCAGGATGAGCTGTCAAACTGGAAAACAGGCCATGAACAGGCCGTAGTCGTCTAGTAGATTTGATTTCTTAACTTGAATAAATAGGACAAACACTCCGAATACTAAACTAGTTGCGAGATTTTTCTGGTCAAGCCCTGATTTATTTGTTTAGGTGGGTCCCCCCAAAACACGTTGCCATCTTGAGGTCTTTTTAGTTAATGGTAGGAAATTTTTTTCCGGATTTTTTTCCTTTTTTTGACGATTTAAACTTCAGGCTCCTGTGCTATCAGCGAAAAATAAGATTGGCCCGTTCAGCGAAGGCGTTCGACGTTGAATCAATGTTGGCAATTCAACTCAATTTGAATTCAGTGTTCAACATTTAAACAACGTTGTGTGCCTGCTTGGATAATCCTTTGTTGAAATGAGTGACTTTTATTTGAAACTACCTCAAAGTATTTTCAATTTGATACTTAATGTTCCCGTGTTCTGAATGAATAGAAAGTTTATTTTTCCTAGTCTACATATTCCCATTCAAACCTGTCTCTGTCCTTTGTTGTAGTTTGGGAGGAAGGGAACATAAGTCGTTCAGACTTGAGTCTACACTTTATCATGAAAGTTTTACGAAAGATCTCGATTTTCTGGCACCGTTTTTTAATGTCCTTCTCAAATATGAACAGCCCGTAGTCGTCTAGTAGATTTGATTTCTTAACTTGAATAAATAGGACAAACACTCCGAATACTAAACTAGTTGCGAGATTTTTCTGGTCAAGCCCTGATTTATTTGTTTAGGTGGGTCCCCCCAAAACACGTTGCCATCTTGAGGTTTTTTTAGTTAATGGTAGGAAATTTTTTTCCGGATTTTTTTTTCTTTTTTTTGACGATTTAAACTTCAGGCTCCTGTGCTATCAGCGAAAAATAAGATTGGCCCGTTCAGCGAAGGCGTTCGACGTTGAATCAATGTTGGCAATTCAACTCAATTTGAATTCAGTGTTCAACATTTAAACAACGTTGTGTGCCTGCTGGGATAACCCTTTGTTAAAATGAGTGACTTTCATTTGAAACTACCTCAAAGTATTTTCAATTTGATACTTAATGTTCCCGTGTTCTGAATGAATAGAAAGTTTATTTTTCCTAGTCTAAATATTCCCATTCAAACCTGTCTCTGTCCTTTGTTGTAGTTTGGGAGGAAGGGAACATAAGTCGTTCAGACTTGAGTCTACACTTTATCATGAAAGTTTTACGAAAGATCTCGATTTTCTGGCACCGTTTTCTAATGTCCTTCTCATAAATGTTTCACTTATATGGAGACGCCAAAACTTGCCGGTGGACAGCTACAAATTTCTTTCGAATACTCGGCACTCAAGGCCATTGATCAGGGAGGGATCGATCTCTTTCGTGCCAGCACCTTTTGCGACACCGGACCTCGCTTAATAAAGTCTTATCCAAAAGACCGATCTCAACGTATCATATTGGATTCCAACCCACTAAGTAGGGATCAACTCCATACGCTTTAATTCTAGAGCATAGGCTCTTACCAATACGCCACGCGGGCGCCCAGCACAGTGCACCTATTGAATAGATGGTGTAATCCACTGAAAATTTTTAAGGTAAACTTAAATACAAAATATATGATATCCTCGCCTAGCAATCTTACATTTCGACATTGGATATCATAATGATTCATTTTCTGCTTTTTTTTCATTATTTACAGATTGATCCTATAAGTGTATAAATTAGTATTTAGGTGTGAAAGTTTGTAAAATTGAGCATTTGATACAGATGAGCTAAAACAAGATAAAACAAGAAAACATTGATGTAATCATCAATTGTCGCCCGTGAAATATATAACGTAAACAATGGAAGTGAGTCTTGATCACCAAACCCCTTTGATATCTGTAAAAAGGCATGCGTCTAATTGATGGAAACGATAGTCGCCATGTTTTAAAAAAAAATATAGTCGGATAAAAATCAAACAAAAACGATACCATTTTGAAATTAATCAATTCCTCAATTACATGTTGGCTGCATAAAATATAAATTGAAGTTAGACACATGCATCTCCTACCTGTATATTAAAAATGTATAAATTTTCAATTTAAGAACACGAACTGTACAGAGCACGTTTGTATGCAGTAGAATTCAATGTTCTAAAAAAAAAAGACCTGTCGTTCTTTCGATAGTAAATAATAAGCATCTTTATATATTAAATATGAAATACATATATACTTTTACAGATTCACTTTATGAAAATAAATATATTATGTATCTCGTATTTTACAAATAGAAAGAACATTCTGATTAACAATCTTTTCAATGTTTAGAAAACTTTTAATTCTAAAATTACTACTCCCACCCCAATCCCAATATACCAACCCTTAAACTTTATGTATAGAGCAGTCCGGTCCTCCGGGCTGCAATAATGTCATCAATTTTAATGACTTTTTCAAACTGCACATATTGTATAATAATATACAATGAAAAATACCAACATGAAGGTAGACATTATTTGATCTTTTATATTAGAAATGATATCATTATTCAAGCATGCAATGAGTCAATGAATCTTAGTAATTCAAATTAACTTTAAATGAAATTGTCAGTTTCATAAAACATTATGCACTTTACGTTATTAATAGTTTTATGTATTTATCACTTTAACATAATGTATATATATCTAAAAGGCGAATTAATTTATATTCATAAATAAATGCTAGGAATTATTTTACACTTGTTGCAGTTTTATACATCTAACTAATGCATGCAACTTTTAAAGATTTTAAAAAGAGGGTTTAAGTACCGGATACGTATTTTATAGTAGAGCGTGTTACCAGTCGGTTGTTGATTTTGTAGTCCCCTGTTAATGTTTATGAAGATTTTATCGTTATATTTTCCTTCTTACTTGGTTTCCTGTAAGCTTTGTTGTCGATGATGTAAATGTCCAAGTGTGGATGTAGACCTATACAGGATCTCACGATGTCAGGTCTCCCGTATCTCCAGAGCCACGTTACGTGATCTACACTGTCCTGTGATCTCCCTCTGTAATGTACAGTTTCCCCTTCTCTTCTTAGATCCATTAGAAATTCTTTCCGCTTATCTCCACACCCCTTTAGTATTTGAAATATGACATTCACTGCCGAAAGAAAGGAATATAATGTATCATAACAAGTACAAAATTATACCTGCGAGTGAAAATTATCAGAAACATGATCGAATGTGAACCCGCTTTATATATTAAGATAACATGTATGTAATGAACAAATCTATACCTAGGTATACGCCTCTCAAATCAATATTTACAAAAGCCTCCCCCCTTTCAAAAGAAAACATTGATATCTTTATATCTGTATATCTTATATCTATCACTCTTTTGTATTGATAACTTCAGTCAGTTAAAAAATCATTTTCTATTTTGAAAAAGATTATCACAGTACAATTTACAAAAGACTTACATATCTGGTGTATCTCATCATATATATCCGTGTACTCCATGGTGACGTGAGTCAATATGTTCATCTGTAGACGGAGTATCAGAAAGTCATCCCACCCAGGACTACTGACACACTTCTCTCTGGGTTTTCTGTTATATCTCCGTGATCTCAGATATACACTGGCTGTGTCATAACTACAGCAAGAGAATGGTATACCACTGTTTATTGATGCTATCCTATACATTGTCTCATCCTTTGTGTCCTTTGTTATCTTGTCCTTATCTTCCCAGAGATAATCACGTGACTTCAGTCTGTCCAGAGTCTGCTGTGCTTCCTCACGTGTTACAGGATTAGTTTTATCGTACACATTCAATCGTATCTCATTAAGCAAGTCCAGCCACTCTGTGTCAGTGAAGTCAGGAGGACCGGAGTCAGAACACAGAAAACAGAATAACACGGACACCTCGTCATCAGACAGTGTGGGGAACTCATCTAAAACATTTGGTGAGATAATATTTATCATCGTTCTTTATTAATGATAAAAAAATAATCGTAAAATTTGATTTATATGTCGTTTTTCAAATTCTTCTGTAATTTGTTTGTGTATATAATGGTATTGTTTCTACAATATGAATCGTATATGATTATCAATATAATTATAAGCAATCAGTGTGATCAACTTCTTCAGTCATCATGCAGAGAGCGACAAGTATATCGAAAGAATGCGGTATTAGACGACGATCTCCTCAGTATATCTTGAACAGATGCATGCCTTTTCTAACTTTTTAAAAAGGGACCCGTGTATCCAAGAAAAAGCCAAGGTCATTTTATTTAACACTAATGTGGAGGTGATAAGGAACAACCCCTAACCCCCACCCACCCCAGTCATGGGTATATATATGCATGAATATGTATATTGTAAGTTGTTCTACGTTCCAAAGCTAAAGAGTGGTAATAAAGCTTAGATTTTAGAGTTTTTATGTAATTAATAAACTATACCGTAAATGTCATAACCAGAAGACATTAACACTTAACGTTATTTTTTTTTCAATGCTTAACGCATGAAAAAGAAAAAGTTTGATCTATATAAGATGGAAAATTATGTACTCATCCTTGTTAGTCCCCTACCAGTGAAATTGGGGGGACTATAGATTTCCTCTGCGTCCGTCCGTCCGTTCGTTCCCTCTGTCTGTCTGCCTGTCCGTCTGTCTGTCCAACTTGGTTTTCCGCGTTGTTTTTCTAAACGTTTGCACATATTGAGCTGAATTTTGATATATGAGTGTATCTTAATTGGTTACTTATCAAGTTTTAATTTTCCTTTGCTTCATTGATTTTTGACAGAATTGTGGCATTCTGAATATTTTTCATAATCGTTTACTTAAGATCGGGTGTGAACTGTGCTAAGTTCCGATGGTCGACATAAATATGAAGCGAGGAAAATACGTTGGAGAAATGAGTAAAATTTTCCTCTTAATGTGGATTAGTTTATTACTTTTAAGGTATTTACAACTTTAAAATCTTGCAGTTTCACCTCGGACATGACATTTGTATGATATAAAATGACATCTTAAAGAAAAAGGGGAATGCGGTAGGGGACATGTATATTGCTTATGCAATACTCACAGAATGCTTGTTTCAAGTGACCATTACAAAGAATTTTAAAATGTATGTTTTCATCGTACACCAATACTTACCTGATATCTTTGTCCTCCACACATTGTAAACACCTAACCATATTTCTGGAGAGAAAAAATGAAAATGTGGAACATTCTATATATTTTTCAATGTTTAAATCATTTATTGAAACATTTACTTATTAAGATACGACGGCCTTATTTCCTCAAAGCAATCTTCCTTTTTATAAATGTTCAACCATTGAATTAATATTCTTCCTTAACAGACCACCACGCCGGTGTTGTAAAATAGCATTTCCCTAAATCCATATTCCCATGGAAACCTGCCCTAACAGAGCCAAAACATTTCGGGGGAAAATACTATATGGTTAGGAAGGCCCGAAAAAATCTAAATTTAAGTAGATTTCGTCAATATCTCCCTTCCTGGTAAGTAAACAGCGGATCCTTTGTAAAGATATGTTCTACTTAAAAGAGGCCGTCCACCGAAAAAAAAACTAGGCAATGGGTGGCACAATGCATGTCATGGCTTTTAATTATGTTTTGCATGTATAGACTTATTAAAGCAAGTTTTTATCCATGGCAACATAAAATTGTTTTGAGCTACTCTTGTCCTACTTTTGAAAAATGCATTTTAATTTCAAAAAGGTTAACATGGGGTAAAAAAAAATAATCAGTTTTTTTTTTCACATGTATTTTACATTATTATACTTTAATTAATATATGCTGTGGGTTTTTTTTTTAATAAAAAGGGGGATAAAGAGGAGAAAAAGAAAGAGATTAGAGATAGAGAGGAGAAGGAGAGAGAGAGAATTAATAAAAAATTTTCCATCTGTTCCACTGGGTACAGTATCTAAGAAGATGGGTGAACAAGGCGGGCAAAATGCCGTAGGATATTAAGAAATCATATTCAATCTGTGCATTGAGTATTTCAATTAACTTTTCATTATTGAAATTTGTGAAATTATTAGAGATATACCTTTTCTGAGAAAAAAAAATCTCGTACAAATATTTTCTTTTATAAAAATATAAGATGGTATTTGTGGGATTCGAACACGAGAAATAAAATTCCGAGGAATCACACTGCTTTTAGATTGAGACTAACGCGGTTACCTCTATGCTATATGGCTCATGATGATTTGGGCTATTTAAATCATGTTTGTGATATGACCCTTGACTTAAGGGACTTAAAGTATTTCTGTGAAAGATGCGATTGTTATTAGCCCGAGATATCGTATTGCGATATACTGCGATTTTTATAACATTACTGTATTGCGATATGTATTGCAATATTTTTAATTTTAATTTAAATGGCATTTTCTTACTTTATTTACTTTATTTTACATGCAAAATGGACAGATATATGATAAGTAACCAACATAGAAAAAATCTATCTTGTTGATTTCATTAAAGTTATGCTCTGAAATGTTCCTACAAAACAACTTCTGCCTTACTGTTTGGCTTAATAACAAACTTTCATAAGTTCATTTTCATATTTAATGACCTAATTCCTTAATTTAGGCATATAGTAAGACGTTTGTTGTACTATTGCAGAACATACATTCAAAGGTTATTTACTACATCATGATGTGTAAACATAATATTTTAGCCAAAGTAAAATAGTATTTTGAGTATCAGTATAATTCTCAATGTAACCTAAAATAAAAGATCTCTTCGTACATATTTAATGATGATGACTAGACCAGTCTAATTTGCAGGAAAAAGAACAAATTTCTCTAGAAATATTTGTGTACATTCACATTTCCATAAAGGGCGTTCTAGATATTGGGTTTGAGTGACAAAAATTGCAGTACTTAGAGTCATTTTTGTTAATTTTCAATAAAAATAAATTCAATGCTAAAATTCTGTTTTTTATTCTATATTGAAAGAATAAGAGTTTACAGTCTTTTGTTAATCGGAAGCGTATTTAGTGGAATTTTTTTCCATCCCTTATTGTCATTTGGATTTGTGACATTTCATCACCTTGTAAATATCTCTCATACCTAATAGAGTATCTAGCTTTTTAATTGATAGTTACATGTATGTCAAGGCCAGAAGTTTTTATCCAAGACTTATTAGCTTGAATTATAATACTACATTTTTTTAAAATAACCTTAATCATGGGATAAGTATTACGAAAATATTCAAAAATCGATAAAGAATCATCTTCGTTAATCATATCATTCACGTCTAATGTTGCTGTCAAACATGTGTTTATTATAAAAAAGATTCCTCCCTAGTAGGAAACATTGGGTTATAAGACAAGGTGATGAGTCACCAGCAATCTCAGACGCTATCTCATAAATTTGTAATGTTATCCAGGATTTGAAAACGTCTCTTCAAAATTTATTTCTCAACGTTTTCAGAAAAGTTGTGACGTTATCAATTCCACAGTTTGAATAATTGTCTAAGTTAAACTTTTGGATATGATGTTTCATACCCCAATTTGTAAAAACGAGCTGTTTTATCCAAAATAATTTCATAGAAGATATAAATAACAAGGTTTTATATTTCAATTCTCCGGCCATGCATCTTCATAATTTTTAACAATAGCTATTTTTTAACCCCATGAATTGAATTATTCCATAGAAATGAGAAGAATATTTTTTCTAATTATTTGCAGTATGATTCAGTGGGATTTGATAATGACATTAAAATGTGATTTAATAAAGGTAAAAGTAATTTTCTCTATTGGAGTTAGGTACCCTTTCTCCCATTTTGTAGTGTATATATTGGTTAAATTAATCATCCATGATGTTTATCCTTTACACACTAAAGAAACTGATACATAATAAGACAATTGTTGGCGCAGTATAATTTTAATTTTTAGATTTTGTCAGTAAACCAGGTTATATGTACTCTGAGACGTCTGAAACAAGTTGTTAAAACGAGGGAATTGTCCAATTTAATTTCAAACAATTTGTTTTCCCGAACATTTGCAAAAGTCAAAACTATTACATTTTCGTTATGATAGAGAGCACATCTTATGAATGAATCTCAAAAAAGGACGATGGTTAATTTTTACATTTTTTCATTGTGCAAGCACTTCATATACAATATAATAATTCAACTTTTCATATGTGCATTGGTTAGTATATTTCGAAAACAGATTTACCTAAAATCTTTTTGCGACGCTTTAGTTTAGTTTTTAGTTTTAGTTTTTGCCGACGTCTTCTAAATAGAAAGGCTGCTATCAGAATCCCCACCAGTACCAGGAGAGGTAGGACGACATCGAGGATAACTCCTACGTCAACGGATCCGTCATCTGTAGTAGTCCTAGAGGCATTTGAATACATGTACATGTAAACAGTGATCGTTATAAAGGTCATCTGCAAGGATTTCAATTTTCATGCTATTATAGCTATTTAGGCGTAGGTTAATTGAAAGAAAGAGTTAAAAATCAAATAACTAGATTTCAAAATACATAATTATGCATGTACATTTTATTCTTTTGTAGAGGTTACATGTATCAAGGATGATAAATACCAATTCAAACGTCTACAGTAATATGCTTTTACATTTTATATAGTCTCTCACTTTAATGAAGTGAATAATTTTGAATTTAACAGCTCAATGCCTTACCAACCCAAATAATGTATTGAAAGAATATAAGTTTGGGGATCATAATATAAACATTGAATTCTTTTTATTTTCACGACAAATGTTTTCAAATTAGATAACAGTTTAAAACAGAAATAAGTCATTTAACTCATATGTTTAAGAGATCGGGTGGTCACATGTATTTGATAAGTTATAAGGAGGAGTGACTAGGAAGTTAACAAACTCTTTCCATATTCACAAAACCAAACTTCAGATCAAAATGATCAGAAATTAAAGTCAGTAAGTAGATCAGTTGTGACAAAAAATGGTTGACTCAATCGTTCTCGAGTAACAAATGGCTGTAAGGTTTAACACATATCATGGAAATTTCTGAAGACATAAATCTACTCATTAATTGGATATATTGCTTTTTGAAGGGGGGGATATTTTTTTTAAAATGATGTTTGTCCTGTTGCCCAGTGAAGACAAGCTGAAGAAGAGATTTGTCCTCTTTAAAACAATTTTGTAAATTAATTTGGTATGAGAGAACGCAAACTTACTGTATGAAAGACAGTTGAATATCTTAAAAATTATATTACTCGTGAATTTTTAAAATAAAGTTAACTTTCGACCTGTATTTTAAAAGGGGTGACATCCCTACTTTATTCACATTGAATAAACGATGCTACCAAGAGAGAAGACCCGCTTATGATTGTCAATATACTCATGCTGGAAATGGATATATACTTGTAAGCCCATACTATTTCCGAGACTTGGTAATTTCTCACGGTTATTTGTTATGAAATGAATAATTTGCATTTTAAGTCACAGGACTGCCTAGATCACATGAAAACTGAAATCCTTTATATTTTCTTTTAAGGTGGGTATTTAATTAGATTGAGCATATTCCGGTCACCCTAGTTTAATATCTCTTAATTTAAAAAGGATTCATTTTATTTTTATTAAACAACTTCATAAAATCAAACTGTATTTGTATTTGTATAAAATGAAGCCACTCTAACAAAAATGTACAAAAGTGAACTAAAGTTTCTAAAGTAAACATTAATGAATACTTCGTTACTTCTTTTTACCATGAAACTTGAAGAGGAAATGCTGTGTACATTTGAAGTATACTGTAAACCAACTTTTATTCGCGTGTAAGAAATATCCGCGAGTTCCGCGACCTCCTTCAACTCGCGAATATTATTCGCCGCGAACCATTCATTTTGCTAAGGATTTATACGGGTGAAACAAAATATAGGCGCATTAAGAATACCACATTGTTATACATGATTTTTAGAAATGTTAACTTCTTTACATGTAATTTATCATAATTCATTTAAAGGCATACTTATAAAGGACTTGTGTGCAAAATTTTGTTGATCTAGCTTTAACAGAATTTAAGTAAATGCAATAAATGTACTCCAAAAATGACCTTTTTTAGCGTTATGCGGTTGCGCTTTGAAATTAAACCATTTTTCAATTGAAATTATTGTTATATATCATAAATCTTCATGCCAATGATCATTATCAGACTTTAAATTTATTTTACAAATTATTTTGGTGCTTGAATTTTAAGGATTGAATGACAATTTTTGAAGATATGAAAGAAAATGTAATAGGGGTGCAATGTTATACATTTTTGACATAATTTCACCCCTCTCATATGCCAAATAATATGTCCATATCATTTATTTTCTCAGATTTCTATCTAAAATCACAGTATTAATGCTCTGTTACTTACAGAAAAAATTGGGGTTATTGTAACAATTAAAATGAAATTTCATCATGTTTTAATGTGGAAAATTAAATTTTTACAAAAAACTGTAGTGTCCGTAACCACTCTCAATCTGTGAAATTGGAAAGCTCTATAAATATCTTTACTAATTTCCTAGATAGGCATCTCATATAGATGCTGAGATGTTTCGTAATTTTCCTGATCATCAGCACTGTTTGTCTGTTTTCATTACAAATGTGGTTACGGACACTACAAAACCCTGTAGTGTCCGTAACCTGAATTTGAGGCAGTTTGAAACAGGCGGTGTTAAAACACTATCGCAAATTTGTTCACAAGGGTCAGAAGTTTGTTTAACAAGTTAGTCAATGCACTTTATTTTTCTCCCTCATTTTGATATTGCAACTAATTTGGGAAACCCAGATTGCACCATTTTCATATACAAGATCCTTGGTGTTACATCACCTTGATATTGGCAGATTCTATTGACATTCTAGGATTTAAGTCAAATAGCATGTCATTATTTTTTCATTGTTTAAGTCAACTGGTGTGACATTAAAGAAAATCTATTTGAAATTCCTTTATTTAAGGTATAGTTTTATCCTATTGTAAATAACTTGTAGAGTGTGTAGTGTCCGTAACCAAAAGTTGAAAAATGAAATATCCTTATTTTTTCTCCATAGAATTTACAGATAAATTTTTGAAACAGTGTATTATTGAATTTAGAGATAAAAAGGTGTTTATTAGTTAGAATTCTTTTAGATCACGTGTTTTTTTTCTTTACTGCAAGTACTAAAATAATGACTGGACACCCACAATGACATATAAAAATATTTAGAAATTATTATCACTAGCTACATAACCCATATTTTTTGTGAATATTGCTTCAATTGTTTAGTTGCTTATTAGGTAAAATCTTAAAATGTGTTAAATGCAAGTAAATTTGCATTCAAAATGTTAAACAGTTGGGAAGTAATTTGGTTAAGGACACTACAAACAATTTCAAAAAAAAGAAAACAACTAACATTACACCAATTTCAGATAAAGTATTGTATATTTAACTGTTTGAAAAAAAATAGAATGCTTCACAGAAAAGAAAAAATAATTGAAGAAATATTAGTGAGCTTTATTCTTCAAGGTTTGACTTTTCTACTTGCACATAACACCTGTCAAAAGTTACATGTGTATATTTCTATTCAAAGTATATTGGTTATGGTATGCTTGTAACAGATGAGTTGAGATAAGAAGAATAAAAAAAATCAGGAGAAACTGACACGAGAAATAAAATGCTGAAAAAAGATAGGAAAAGGGCTTAAAAACAAAAACTTTATCCACAAACCTGTGAAAAATTAAAGTATTGTGTAGTGTCCATAACCCTTAAATTTGGTGAATTGACTTCATTGATCATTGTACCTACATTCTAAATAGTTTTCATAAAACTTTAATGAATAATAGAACTTTTCTTTTGCACTTCAGTAATTAATACATGTAGTTATGTGAAAGAAGGAAGTTTCAGGATTTCCTAAAGTGGATTTTTTTTCTATTGGCATTAGTTTCCCAACTGTTTAACATTTTGAATGCAAATTTACTTGCATACTTGCATTTAACACATTTTAAGATTTTACCTAATAAGCAACTAACCAATTTAAGCAATATTCACAAGAAATAGGGGTTATGTAGCTACTGATAATAATTTCTAACTTTTTTATATGTCATCGTGGGTGGATAAACAGTTTATCATGCATCATGATTTTTTTATATAACAAGGTTTATATGCTATTGTTTTTACTTAAAACAATATCTAATTTGTATATACTTTGTATTTAATAATCATTTAAATCTGATTTAAAATAGTTCAGAAGTTTATAAAATGTTTTTTTTTACAATGTACCACAAACCAAACGGCTATCATAAATATTTGGGTTTTGTAATGTCCGTAACTTAATGAAGCTATCAAATTATTTTAGAAAATTTATAAAAATAAAATGTCCCATTTTAATGGAAGTATTTATATTTCACCAAACGCGTAAAAAGTGTTGTTTATAAATAGTATTTTCTTTATCTATATTGGTTTTAAAGAGTTCACATGAAATGAAATACTATCATTTTGAACAAAAATGTACGAAGTAAGAACTGTTTAAATTTTAAAGTACAATGCCACCTTTTTTAGTCAAAATTTTGTCCTTATTTTTTATCTATATATGTTCTTTGTTTGTAAGCATTTGAAAAAAATAGAGCATATAAACAGTTTTATATATTTATTTCAAAGAAAACAACACTTGTAGTGTCCGTAACCTGTGAAAATGAGGTTATTATCAGCTTGTAAAAAACAAAGTTCCAATGTGAATTTCACAAAACCGTCTATGCTTGAGATCCTTTAGATACTGTACTTTTTAGAAAAAATATTTTTGGGTCAAAACGAGAACATTAAATTTTTACCCCCAAGTGCAACCTTACTGTCCCCTATATTGTGATTCACCCGATAGAGAATGTCCCTAATCGCGGAAATTAATCTTAGCGGATAGTCTTCAAACTGAAGAATCGCAAATAAAAAATGACGCGAATAATAGTTGGTTTACAGTACATGTAGTTAAAGGGTTTTTATCATGCATCATGATTTTTTTATATAACAAGGTTTATATGCTATTAAAATCATCCATTTTTTGGTTAGAAAATTAATATTTTGCGTGTTTCAGCGATTCAAAGTTTAAATTTCTCAATATGCATATTTTGATCGCCGATGTTGTGCGCCATTGCTCTGACGTCATAGGTGTCAGTCCTGGTCAAGCGAAGTACTTATCGTGTTTACAAAACGACTCAATGGCTTCATCTTAAAACCCTTCTAGAAATTAAATAAATGATAATTGGTTAATTGATAGATAATTAGATATAATTTGTGGCATTTGTATGAAAAATTAGCACAGGAAAGGTTTTAGGAAGTTTTTTTTACCTGCCAGGGACTTGGTCGGTGCATTGATTTGTCTTCATTCAGAGCATTCGTTTATGTACGATCCCACATTCTGTATTATGTAAAATATCTATTTAATGGAAATAGTATTTTTCAAAAAAATATAATTTATCAATAGACATTTTAAAAGTCCGGCACACACATCATGCTCTGTGTGTTGTGAAGATCGTAATGGCGAACGGCGCCATTGAAGATCGAAGTGGCCTTTCTATCAAATGATGTTCATTGCTGGAACAGATAGAAGAAATACAAGATCAGCTTGTGTATATTTTATTAAAAAAACAAAGAAAAAACGTAGAACGACCATTTTTATAATTATTTAAGAAGTTAAACGTAAATAATTCGATCTATTTAATCGAAGTCAGGAGTTTTCATTAACGGTTTCGTCTTCCATGCCCTATGTATAATCCTTTCACGGTATGTTTTTTTGGTTATTTTTCTGTTGTAGAAATTAATATATATAAAATTGAGCATCCATAGCCAAAAGTTATATTGTCAATATCAGAATTTCTTCCAACCTAGTGGTGTATTCTTTTTATTTCATGCAAACATCTATACGGTAGATGTTTTCTTACGATACGCTTTACGAGGTCCAATTGCCCATTGACACCTATGACGTTTCAGTACCACGTGATCCCTATCTAATTAGTGGAGATTTTCAATCTGAAGACCCTACATTACATACGTATTATGACTCAAATACGACAGTTTAAAACATGATTTTATAATCAAACGATAATTATATGTTTCAAAAATATAAGAATGTTTAATTTTTTAAAACATTTCGATGCATGATAAAAACCCTTTTTAAAAAAGGTTAATACTGTGATTTTGTACAAAATATATACTCAAGGAAATCCTGATTTCAATACCAGAAAACAGAAAGTATAACAAATAAATATATCTAGCTGAAATTCATGGTAAAATGGACTTATATTTACTATTATAGTAAATAACTGATTCACTAGTAGTAAACTTAAGTTAAAGATAAGAAATGACAAGGTACCTAAGTCCTCTTTTGGCCCCTGATGTTGTTTTTTTTTAGAATTTAGAATGATGTAACAGTTTATAAATAATAACCTGTTTTTATCCTCACCTCAAAAATGATTATTTGTTCTAATTTTTGTAATACACAGAAGTTATAAAGATGACATAAAATAGGTCAATTTTTGTATTTACTCTCTTTTATGCATATTTTCATCGACTTTACAGCTCATTTTGCTTTGAAAAATATAGAACACAAGCTTGCCGATCTTCAAGATTTTATACACTAGTAACATATGCAGTTTATGTGTATAAATTGCAGATAGGCAAAATTGTGTTTTCTGTTTTTCAAAGAGAAAAGTATTTCAAATATGACAAAATTCAATTAGAATTCGAGAAAATATCCTACTTATTCTGGTTTCATAACAAGCATCATTTTAAGTAATGAACTTTAAACTATCGAACTTTAACCAGTGTTCTGATTTTTACATCAAATAGGGGCCCTGCATGGCCCTTGCCCTACCTTGTCCTTTTTTGTTAAAAAAAACTTACGAAACACACAAGGAATCAGCAGCAAAACATCGGAACTCCGTGTTAAGACGACTGCAAGCTGGATCTATGCAGAAGAAATTCAATCAAGTTACTATAAAGTGGAACTTCAAGAAATTTGTCTAAGTCGTCCCAAGTTTCTATTTGTCAAATTCAAAATGTCTGTTGAGCAATCTTGTTAAGGTAGAATGCCACATCATTTTTTTTATTTTATGGATCTATGAGTCATCCTTTCTAAACAATGGTTTCAGCATTGAAAGGCCGATATTAGCTCTTAATTATTTTATATGAATTTTTTTATATTTTTTCAAAGAAAATGAAAAAAATTATTTACATCCTAATAAGATGCTTTCTTGTAAAAATTTTGCTGTAAATGAATGCATCACATGAATACCTAATAAAATATGAAAAGAAAGTCTGGTTAGAGTTTTTAATTTTTTTTTTATAATAAATTATTTATGAAAATAAAACACATTATTTGTAAATATTTTTTAAACCTATGGCTAAAAACACCATAAAACTAGTCACAACTAAGGACAACATGTTTGTCAATCATATTTTTAAAAGAAATTGAAACGAAATTGAGAAATTTTAGAGAAATTAATTTTTTTAATATTTGGACCTAACCCGATCAAAATTAAACTGACCCCAATCAAAAATAACACAAAATGAATAAAATGCTAATCTATTGCCTCTTCAGGGATTTACAATGAATAAATCTATTTTATTGTCAGGTTCTATAATGTTTTAACCCTTATAACACCTAATCAGACTAGTGTTCTTAGGAAAGTGTTATTTATTTCCAATAATTGTACAATTATGGTCGGGATCGGTTTAATTTTGATCGAGATTAGCCAAAATTTAAAAAAAATAATTTCTCTAAAATTTGGCTACTTCGTTTCAATTTCTTTTATAAATATGATTAATGAACATGTTCTCCCCAATTATGGCTGGTTTTAAGGAGATTTTAACCACAAGTTTAAAATATATTCACAAATTATATGTTTCATTTTCATAAATATTTTTTTATAAAAAAAATTAAAAGTCTAATCAGACTTTCTTTACATATTTTATTAGGTATTCATGTGCTTCATTCATTTACAGCAAAAATTTTACAGGGAATCACCTAATTTGGATGTAATTATTTTTTTTTCGTTTTCTTAGAAAAAATACAAAAAAAATCATATAAAATAATTAAGACCTAATGTCGGCTTTTCAATGCTGAAACCATTGTTTAAAAAGGTTGACTCAGAGACCTATAAAATAAAAAGTTGGTGTGGCATTCCTCCTTAAATACAAGTACACTGTTGTCAAAATGAAAAAAAAATAATTGGCTTCATAAAACATTTTTACTGGTTTACATCGATAAGGCTGTTTATTTAACTTTAAGTTCGGTAATTAAAGACCATTTGATTAAGATGCACTTATTAATGTTTAGAATTGGATACAAAAGTAATCCAATCCCCGATTTTTTAAAATAAATTTGCTTCCTGGAAAGTGATTGCCATTAATTGTTATATTGAAAATATAGGTTCATGTATTTTACTCTCCATTGTCTAGGTGCCAATGCAATAGTTAAGAGTGCCCGAAACCAAAACTTTCTCGATTAACACTTCACAAACAGTGGCAGTAGATTGCCAAAGTTTCTTATCTTCCAAATTTCAAATTTTCCACTTTTCAATAAAAAATAGTTTTACAGTATAGTAAAAAAAACAAATGAAATTGATTTTTTTTTAATTTATGTTAAGTGATTGGGCAATTTCTTACATTTATAAAGCTCTGTACTTCTGTAAGGCGCGGTTGGGCAACCTTCCGTGAAGTTTTTACAGCTGATCTGGTCCAGATATCCATCTTTTATTGTCTTCAGACAATACCCTGAGTTTGCAAAAGAACGAGTTTAGATAAAGATTTTATTCCAATGACTAAATATACTCAACGCCAATGGAAACGCAACACCCTAATTTTAGGATTAAAATTAATACAGGTTATAACTATGTACCAAAAAAGTTAGGACATCTTTTACTTCGCCAAATCAGTTATTTAACGGTTGAATGAATTTCTTTCCATTACCGGAAGTTGTTATTTAGCCCTCTTAACAGATTTTATTTTTTTCCATTTTTGATAAAATTTTAACAATATTTTGGTTTTCCAAGGTTTTGAAACTGTTAATCATAAGTATTGTACTAAAGGCCGGGAAAAAAATCCTTCTTTCTTTACCGGGTGTTCTGCCTATATTTCCTCAAAATGACTGATAGCAAGAAGGGGGGATGATTTATGAGTTATATGTTACCTTCAAAAGTTTAATGATAACATCAAAAATGAATATATTTAGGTAAAAAGTAAATTTACAAAAAAATAATGCTCCATTTAAACATTAAATGTTATTTTCAGATCTTAGAAAGAAAAAAATACCCGTTAAATCTTAAAACATCCCCCCTTCTGACATTTTAATGAAAACGTACCAGTCCGCCATATACAACAAATGCAGCCCGATTTCAACCATGCATTAGGTTTATAATTGTCTTAATCTGAGCGAAATTAATATTCTTGGGCATTTTTAACTACATATTTCTCATATTTGCGGCCGAATTTTCTCTAATCTGGCGTAGTGTAGCAACATTTTGACTTTCGGTCAAGAAACTGCCATTTATGCTATTGAAACACATGAACCTGATGGACTGTTATATAGTGTATATTTGCATATGCAGCTTTTTTTTTTATTTATTTTGAGAATTTCTAGTATTTGCAATGAAAATCAGTCATTTTGAGGAAATATAGGCATCTCATCTGGTAGAGAAAGAAGGATTTTTCCCGGCCTTTTAGTACAATACTTAAGATTAACAGTTTCAAAACCTTGGAAACCCAAAATATTGTTAGAATTTTATTAAAAATGGAAAATTTTGAATTCTGTTAAGAGGGCTAAGAAAACGACTTCCGGTAATGGAAAGAAATTCATTCAACCGTTAAATAACTGATTTGGCAAAGTAAAAGATGTCCTTACTTTTTTGGTACATAGTTATAACCTGTATATAATTTTAATCCTAAAATAAGGGTGTTGCGTTTCCATTGGCGGTGAGTATATATCTCTGATTAGAACGGTAAACAACCTATTCCACATTGTACACATATGAATTTTGATGAGACCGTATAAACCGAGGCCCCTTGTCGCAGTAGGTGCTGGCACGAAAAAGATCCCCCACTGCTCAAAGGCCCTGAGTGCCGAGTAAAGGACAAAATTTGTAGCCCTCCACCGGCAAGTGGTGGCGTCTCCATATGAGTGAAAAATTCTCGAGAGGGACGTTAAACAACATACAATCAATCAATCATATCATGAATTTTTTGTTAAATTTCAATCTCAAATTACTATGCTCAATGACCTACTTTTCATGCTAGTGGCCCCTTAGTACATGTACATGTATTTCGCGGAAAATACCTCAATTTTAACACGAAAACCATTTTTTATTTACTCACGAAATATAAAAAGCAACACAATTGTTTAAATAATTGAATATTATAGCAATAGAAAAACGTTGCTTCATATAAAGAAGCGATTAGAGGTTGAGCCTTAGATGTAAACATTATTATAGTTAGAATTTCGTGTAATATTTGCAAAATGATGTTTAAAAATGCATATAACCTTTACATTGTAATTAATATTACAGCTTTTGTAAAGGAAAAGCATAAAATATAGTCCAAATTTCCTTTTCATTACCATACATTAACCTTTTGTCTTGTTTATTTTTGTTCAAATAATAAAATATTTAATTTTGAAATTGATATTGAGTTTAAACTAATTTATTTTATCCATTTAGAACTTATTTTGGTTTCACATATTATCTTTTATAAAAATTTCCTTTACTGTTTTCAGAAACCAGAGTAAACGTCATCCTTAATTGAGTTTAATTAATACAAAAGTTATCACTCTAAAAATACCTCATCATACATGATTAATTTATATCAGACTTTGAATTTTCTGTTTATATTTAGTGGTAAAGGAGAGAGAGAGAGAGAGGAAAGTTCCACAAAATTATTAAATTAATGTTTTTACCAGCCTGATAGAGTCCAACAATAGACTTTGTATAACAGAATTCTACAACAGCTGTCAGGTTTTCATTGGGAACACAGACATACTGACTACGTCCAAACACGTCATTAATACAGTTCAGTTTGGAAGCTGCCTCTGTTGTATTTGCTTTACTAAGGGGACAGGAATCCACAATATATCCAAATCCTTTGTAGGACATAATGACTTCTGCAATTAAAAATATTACATGAAATTAGCATTGGGTCATTTTGCAATATGTTAGGCCACAAGCTGTTTGTGTTTCACACAAAAATAGTGAGGCCCCCGATTGTACAGAATCCCTTGTTATTTATTGAATTTAAAATACTTGCTCACCCTAAAAATATTAATTCATTTGTAGATAGAAAAATGACAGAAAAACATGTATTATTTCACCTAAATAAGCAGAGCGCAGACCCGAATAAGTGACAATGTATATGTTTTTGCATCCACTAAGAATACAAATTAACAGAATATATTTCGTGCAGTGAAATTAAAGACGTTTTAACATTAACAAAAAAGTATATTTTAAAGTGGAGTACATTTATCAATAAAATGAAATGAACTTTTGGTAAGTTTGAAATGCATTTCAAATCAGGGTTTCAATCCAAATCTTTCTCGGTCGTCCGCTTCGAATAGACCAATCCACACTTTTCATAAGTTATGTCCCTTGGCCGCCATCTTAGGGGATAAGCCCTTTGTAGTTTTCAGTTTTGTAACTTCGTCATTTGACTTTAAAAAGCTCTACCTTTTGTGTGTACTGATTGCCCCAAGATGGGGCTACCCACACATTGAAAGGAAAAAATAATTACAGCACGCCCATATATTTGGTAGCATAAAGAGGACGTTTCTTTCCCTTTTGACCTTTTGGTTGACCCAGCAAAGGGCCACAAACAACTTTTGCAAAGTCTGGATTGGACTATAGGACCCGCCCATTTCATCGTTTATCATTTATTGTTTTGTCTGTAAAAGACGGAAATGACGCATGCTGCACATCACCTAATTTGCCAGTTAATGTTCTGCGGCCTTATTGAATTAATTAAAATGCATTACTTTCTAAGTGATGAAGCAATTATAAAAATTAAGACTGATATGATATTAAACACTCGTTAACACCAAATTATGAAAATACATTATACTTGCTTGAGCAAATAATTATAATATCCGTATTAAAAGAAAAATATGAAAACGAAAGTTGATTTTTTTATAAGATTAAATAAAAGATGTGTACTTACGTTATTGCTCCAGCATTCTAAAATGATTTCATTTTAGGTCACATAACTTGTCATGTACATTTATTGTAGTAATATATTATATTACTGTCCCTAGTACCTTTCAAAGTAAGCTCTGAAATACACAGCCATGACTGCCAGCGTCGGTACGCTGCCTATGTGCCCTGTATACATTTATAAATAGATTGCATTTAAATACTCGGTCTTGCTCTAATGATAAGGTGCAAGTAAAAGTGGCGGATTTAAATGTTTTTGAAAACAAAAAATATTAAAAGAAGAAAATAATCTTGACGCAAGCGTCGAAGATATAAGGCCACAAAACCTTTTAAGGACCTTTTAAACACTGGATAGAATGTTCTATCGTTAAATTGATAAACTTTCTATCGACCCGGTGGTGAGGGCATACCCCGAGACACAGTAATATTTTTCTAGCTACATGTATTTAATTAAACACAGATGGGGATGAAGACTACAGAGAGCTGAAAAATTGCTTAATTTTTTTAAAATGTTCAAGGAACTCTTAGAGTATTTTACTATTCTAAATTTTTGGGGGGTTTGTTTTGTAATTCGGTTATTTGCAACGGCGTATTCATTTCATAGTGACAATGTAGAAAAAATTTGAAAAAAAATGAAAATCGTTTGAGCGATTCAAAAAATCGTTTATACGATTTATTTTTTTTTCTGATTCGGAAGAGAAACGTACTGGATAAGAAATATACAGAGAGGTCCCTTCGTTTCTTACTATAACAGGTACAGAAACACATAATGATAAACTGTATCTTGATAATTAAACTGTGTGAATATATGTTGTAATGTAATCTTTGCTTTAATCTGTTTTTCCCTTTAAAATACTTCCTATGGATATCTTCCTGAGAAAACGGTAAATTCTACCATAATGGCTTTCCAGCACAGCCACCTGTAACAATGCAATTGACCACACGAATCAAGTCTTTTGTCATGTGAGTTTTGTATTTACTTCCACCTTGGGCCCACTCGATTGGGAACTTCCTTATTCCAGAATAACCATTCTGTCAAATTTTTAAGAATTATTGATTATGACAAGAAAAAAGCGAAACAAATAGTTGTAGCCATATTATCAATGAATCAAACTAACACCATTTTCAATGCATTTATCATCTCGTGAATGCTGTAGCTGTGCAGTTCTACCATATTTAATTTCCTCCTAATTAAAACAAAATAAACTTAATTATTTACTAATTTTGGTCTCTTACAGTAGGTAACTAGTGCATTAGCACCTTGAGTAGCTTTGGACTAGTTTAGACGAGTATTAAGTGCATTCTTGGTATTTCTTATTTCACACCAGACTACATCCAATATGGCTTGTACATCCCCCTTAATTAAACTATTTGAATATGTTGTAATGTAATCTTTGTTTTAATCTGCTTTTCCCTTAAAAAATACTTCCTATGGATATCTTCCTGAGAAAACGGTAAATTCTACCATAATGGCTTTCCAGCACAGCCACCTGTAAACATGCAATTGACCACACGAATCAATTTTTTTCATGTGAGTTTTGTATTTACTTCCAACTGGTAACTTCGATATTTACAACATGACAATTTCCTCCATGAAAAGAGCTATACATCACATATTTTGGATTTGTTCTTACGTCTGAACAGTCCCAACGTAGCTGTTGTCCTTTTTAATGCTTTTCTAACAAAGACTCGGTGAGTTTGCGAAAGGATCTGTGCAATTTAAAAAAACCCATCTTCAATTATTCCTTGATGAATTTCCTCGGCATGTCATTCATTACTTCATTTATTAAAACTATGCGTGGATACATTGTCCTACTTCTGCAAGGTTTTATACTACGCTTCTTCTATATGTACTAACAAGAAATAAAAATTGTACAAACATTTTTTTTTTTAAAATGGTACGAACGTAAAGTACAAGTGACTTTTCAGTTTCTAAACGTTCCATTACTGTAAACATATCTTGAGATTTATTTCCTTTATTTTTCACATCTTAAATTTCAGATTTTAAAAGAAAAGTACGACATTTCAGTTATCTGATTGGGAGGTAAGATTCTTTTAGATAGTTTATAACATCATTTCATTATTAAATTTGAAAAGTAGAGTTTTTTTTTTACATTTAACAAAATCTGAATACATGTATAATATTTTAAATCAGGAATAAACTATTTTAAAAAATCACGTATTGCACGAGGGAACTGCAAAAAAACAACGGTCTTCTGTATTTAGATTGCTGCAAGCTGGCACTCTGCAGAAAAGTCCGAGATATTTTACATTAATATTGCCAAATTATCTTCCAACACTGCAACTGTGCTATTCACTGCTTGAAGGCAAACTACAGCCTCTGGGAAATTAGTCCATGAGCCAGGCCATGAATTTTTCGGTATCAGTACAATCTCGGGTGAATAATTTTCATATTTAATTTTTGAATGACATATATCTCTACCTGCAGAAAATGTGTGATAGCATTCAATTGATTGTGGCTTTGATGGTGTATCAACTGTTTATATAGACCAACCCAACTTGATTGTTCTCTCTGCCGTGTCTTTTAAAGAAAAAGTTTGGTTTTTCCAATATGCAATTTTTATCTTATTTCGGATGATATTTTCTTGAAAATTCGTTTGAATGCAGACCATGTTATTACCCTGTTCAGTTATTATAAGCTCACTTGAGCCGAAGGCTCAAGTGAGCTTTTCTGATCAAAATTTGTCCGTTGTCTGTCGTCGTTGTTGTTGTCGTTGTCGTTGTCGTCGTAGACTTTTCACATATTCATCTTCTTCTCAAGAACCACTGGGCAAATTTCCACTAAACTTGGCACAAAGTATCCTTGGGTGAAGGGGATTCGAGTTTGTTCAAATGAAGGGCCACGCCCTTTTCCTAGGGGAGATAATCATGAATTTGTTAAAAATTAATGGCATTTTAAAAAAAATCTTCTTCTCCAGAACCGCTGGGCCAGGAAAGATGAAACTCATGTGAAATCATCCTCAGGTAGTGTAGATTCAAGTTTGTTCAAATCATGACCCCCGGGGCAAGGGTGGGGCCAAAATGGCAGACCAAACTTTTACATAGGAATATATGGGAAAAATCTTTAAAAATCTCCAGAACCACTAGGCTAGGAAAGATGAAACTCATGTGGAAGCATCCTCAGTAAGTGTAGATTCAAGTTTGTACAAATCATGACTCCCGGGGCAAGGGTGGGGCCAAAATGGCCGACCAAAGATTTACATTGGAATATATAGGGAAAATATTTAAAAATCTTCTTTTCCAGAACTACTGGGTAAAGAAAGATGAAACTCATGTGGAAGCATCCTCAGGTAGTGTAAATTCAAGTTTGTACAAATCATAACCCCCGTGGCAAGGATAGGGCCAAAATGGTCGACCCTAGTTTTACATAGGAATTAATATATAGTAAAAATCTTTCAAAATCTTCTCAGGAACCACTAGGACAGGAAAGATGAAACTCATGTGGAATCATCTTCAGGTAGTGTAGATTGAAGTTTGTACAAATCATGACCCCTGGGGCAAGGGTGGGGCCAAAATGGCTGACCCAAGTTTTTCATAGGAATATATTAGAAAAATCTTTAAAAATTTTCTCCTCCAGAACCACTGGGCCAGGAAAGATGAAACTCATGTGGAAGCATCCTCAGGTAGTGTAGATTCAAATTTGTTCAAATCATGACCCCGGGGCAAAGATGGGGCCAAAATGGCCGACCCCAGTTTTACATTGGAATATATAAGAAAAATCTTTATTTTTTTCTCCAGAACCAATGGGCTAGGAAAGATGAAACTCATGTGGAAGCATCCTCGGGTAGTGTATATTCAAGTTAGTTCAAATCATGACCCCCAGGGCAAGGATGGGGCCAAAATGGCCGACCCAAGTTTAACATAGGAATATATAGGGGAAATCTTTAAAAATCTTCTTCTCCAGAACCATTGGGCTAGGAAAGATGAAACTCATATGGAAGCATCCTCAGGTAGTATAGATTTAAGTTTATACAAATCATGACCCCCGTGGCAACGGTAGAGCCAAAATGACCGACCTAAGTTTTACACAGGAATATATTGGAAAAATCTTTCAAAATCTTCTTCCCAGGAACCACTAGGACAGGAAAGATGAAATTCATGTGGAAGCATCCTCAGGTAGTGTAGATTCAAGTTTGTTCAAATCATGACCCCTTGGGGAAGGGTTGGGCCAAAATGGCTGACCCAAGTTTTTAATAGGAATATATAAGAAAAATCATTAAAAATCGTTTCCTCCAGACCCATTGTGTAAGGAAAGATGAAACTCATGTGGAATCATCCCCAGGTAGTGTAGATTCAAATTTGTTCAAATTATGACCCCCGGGGCAAGGATGGGGCCAAAATGGCCGACCCAAGTTTTACATAGGAATATATACAGTACCGACCAGACCCAACCTGACACAAAGCAGTCCCAGAGCAGTCCCGGGGACTGCTTTCTGGGACTGCTAAAGCAGTCCCACAGCGGTCCCAGAGCAGTCCCACAGCGGTCCCAGAGCAGTCCCACAGCAGTCCCAGAGCGGTCCCAGCAGTCCCAGAGGTCCCAGAGAGCAGTCCGAGCAGTCCCAGAAAGCAGTCCCAGCAGTCCCAGTGGGCGGGGTTTATTAATTTAATGGGCGGAGCTAACTCAGAAATGAGATTTCTAATAAACAATGGAACTATAAAAGGCAGTAGAAATTGATTCTGGGTAGTATGCCAGGAATCCTTACATGTACGCGAAGGTCATTTATGAACAGAACATGTACGCGCATGAAAAATGAAATAATTATTAATCATATTTATTGGAGGAAGAAGGCTTTCACACTTACATGTACATATATGAATTACACTGATCATGAATATTTAATCACAATTCTTGGGTATATTAATAATTCTTTTGTGATTGATACTGGTTCCCATATTTATTTTTTATACAGAATATTAAACATGAATTAAATATTTTCCACCAGAAGAAGCTTTAGATCTAAATAGATCTTATCATTATATGGCCAATTTAGACTATCGGGATACTATAAAGTTAGAGTTTTCTTAAGCATTGGGGCTTGTAAACATATTCTTTGTTAATTTTGCCAAGTATTATCTTTCAGTCATTATTTTTACTGACATGATAATTTAATTATCGTTAATGCCTAGTTCTATAAAACTCAG